ATTGAAATGTGTTTTGAACAATTAGCGAATTGTGTTTCCAGTTTGGAAATGTGTTGTGAACATTGAAATGTGTTTTTAGCAATTATTGAATTGTGTTTCCAGTTTGGAAATGTGTTGTGGACTTTGGGGGGTGTTTTTTAATTTGAAATGTGTTGTGACACTTCTGGGCCACCGTAACTACCAGCTTTTATGAATTATACCCAATAAAAATGCTGCAAAAAATTCTGATGAAAACACACACGGTACTTAGTAGACATTGTGCACAGAAATATATGGTCCTCTAAAATCGGAAACGTAACTTGCAAACTAATGTATAGTCAAAGTCTAACCGTAACCAAACAATTACCTGAGCTTGAAGCTTCAGTTAAGGTTTCATTTGGCCGTCCAAGGTTCGGGCTGTCTTCTACCGTAGCTGCATCAGGCACTTAAAAAACAGATGAAACAATTAAACATAGGGAATATAAGGCTGCGCGAATTAAGATATGGACTTTGGTTTAGAGTAGTGCAAATAATACTTTATGAATAAGTAAAATATTGCTTTCACCACGAGAATATAAAACATACCTAATTTTAGTGTGCGGTGATAACCAATTTGTGCAGTGATAAAAGAAAAATGTGCAGTGATAAAATGTAAAATGAGGCAATGAGCAGAAAATTCGTTTTGACACTTGACAGTATTAATGAAACCATTTTGAATGAGAATAATTTGAATGAAATTGAAATGGTAACTGCCAAATTATCGAACGTCCGCACTAATATTATACTTAAAGGTCCATACATACCGGACGCGATTCGAGAACGTGACGAGATTTTTCAGTTTTTGAAAGTTAATAAAACAACCAATGAGAGCAAGTTTTAAAAGATATGTAGACCAAATAACTCAAAATGTTATAAGGAGCTTCTAAATATTGGGAAAGTTTAAACTAGGATAAAAGTTATCGGTCAGTGAAAATCGAAAAATCGCGTCGCGTTGTCGAATCGCGTCCGGTGTGCATGTCTGGACCTTAACGTTCATCAGATGAACAAAGTCCCACAGCAAAGATATCTTTATGAGCTTGAAAAATGGAGTGAATGATACTTAACGTTTTGTAATTAGTGTATAATCTTCAGAATTCTATATAGATTGTCCCCGCATATTGAATACCTTTTAAAGAGCCTAGATTTTAACCAAACAATTACCTGAGCTTGAAGCTTTACTTGAGGTTTCATTTGGCGATCTAACCTTCGAGCTGTCTACTGCCATAGCTGCATCAGGCACTTGAAAAAACGGATGAAACAATTAAAGTGCCTATATCACTTGTGGGATATTTACGGATTTGGAAAGAGCACAAAAAGTTAGTTAGTAAGTTCTTTAACCTTTTTTGATTTGGTTCAGTATTTTCCGAGATATTGACCCTCAAACATGACAATTTTCAAAAAAATCCGTCGTGCTTGGGGGCCTGGGACTCAGGAACGCGAGCGTAAACAAATGAATTTTCCTGCGGAAGTAGCGTAATAATGATGCAAATTACTATACGAATTTGCATAGCACTATAAATATGAGTGAAAATACGGTAGCGCCATCACGTGTAGCACAAAGAGCCTTCTTAGTTTCAGCATGTCAGATACGGAGCCCACCTATATCGAACAACCAACGCCTGTTGCTAGTGGACAACTAAACCTCACCGAACAAGTTTTCGAACGATTCAAATCATATCTTGACCAAAAGGTTTCCAATTTAACCACCAATCTTACTGCCAAGGCCGACAGCAGATCTAAGCGTGTCGAGCGCCAAACTACAGGTCAACAACTAGAGCTTGTCGGCAATAAGGATCAGTTTCTTTTCAACGTCGAGTTACAAAACTCAATCGAAGAAAGTACAGAGTTACTGCAACACCAAGACGTCGAAGGGGCTTTGGTAACGCTCGAAACGGCTCAGAAATCTTTACATCTTAGACAGAAGAAAATAAAACTTGCTGACAAAAGCGACGCTGGGTGGTTAGCCGTAAAAGAATACGAAGCTGAAGATCTCGCAAGTGATTCAGACGATGAGAAACGTATTAAGAAAGCCCAAGCGTCGGCAGTACGGAAGAAAGCTAAATCTAGACAGGCAAAGCTTATCAACCAGGCATCCAGGAACGAATTTGTTAACCGCTTTCCTGTTAATAGCGACAGTCAGCTTTTTCGAGGTAACTCATGCATGGCCACAATAGGTATAAGTCTGTACGAAAGTAGCCCTTTCTTTGTAATATCAGCATGGTAGGCAAGTGCTCACACGTCGCCTACCATCTATATGTTGTGTGTGTAATTGATATGGCGAATGTAGAAGCAAAATGTTTTTCCTTCGGGCGAACGCAGTGAGTAAAGAAGGAAAATGAATTTTCCTGCGGAAGTAGCGTAATAACAATGCAAATTACTATACGAATTTGCATAGCACTATAAATATGAGTGAAAATACGGTAGCGCCATCACGTGTAGCACAGACAGCCTTCTTAGTTTTTTAGCCCATACAGTATACGAGTGTAAGAGTGTATAAATAAATAGATCAAAATGCATGTATTTGCTCAGTTTTTGTTTTCATGTTTTCTGGGTCTGAGACCGCCGGATGGCGCAGGAGTGTTTTCATTTATTTACATCTTAATTTACTTGTAACATCGCCGGATGGCGAATGACGTTGAAAGTGTTCAGCGTGTCCAGAAATTGGCCGGATGGCAAATGAACTTGAAAATATTCGGAAGACGGCCGAATATGGCATTTGAAGGTGAAATTGTTATTATGTTAGCCGGATGGCAAATGTAACGGGAATGCTTTTGGGATTCTTTTCCATTGGCTAGTTTATAAGCTTTTGCGGCCCTAGTACTTGTGCATCTATGATTACATTAATTGCCTTTGTTAACTCTTACTTTCTTTTTTCAGGAGTTAGCTAATGCAACCACATGGGGAGATTTCCCCATCGAGGATAGAAAAGTTTTGATACGTCAGGTTTTGCGATCGAGAGCCTCAAGTACTGTCAAAAAGTACGTTCGCGAACATCGCAAATACATCGATTTTCTGGTACGTACCAGGGGGCCCACCACATTACCTTCGGACAAGTTACACATCGCTTCTTATTTGGCTTCTGTATCCCAGACCAAAAATAGTTATAATGCAGTCTTGCAAGCATTTTTTGGAATCAAATGGGTTCATTCGTTACTCCCTACCGACGTGAAAGGCAATCCAGCCGACACTACTCTGTCGGCCAACATAGTGGAAGCTAGTAGAAGGGCTTTCACAAAACCGAGCATAAAAAAGGAACCAATTTCTACATCGACTATAACCAAAGTTTGTCAACAATTCGCTGGACCATCCTGTACTCTGAAGGGGTTAATTTGGACAGCGCTAATATTTTCCTTGGGATTTACAGGTTTATTTAGGGTCAGCGAATTATTGAATATCAAGGCACAGGATATTGGGATCCAAGCTGAACATCTCGAGATTGTGGTTCGAAAATCCAAGACTGACCAATATCGACAAGGAAATATAGTTTATATAGCAAAAACTAACGGGCCAGCGTGCCCACATTCTTTGCTTTTGCGTTTCTATTCTCTCACAGGTACACAGCCACGTTCAAACGTGTACATTTTTCGTTCGCTGTCATCGCTGAAGAAAAGTACATTAAATGAAGCAGACAACAAATCTTTCAGTTATTCTCGATGTCGTGAAATTGTTAAAGAAACTCTGGCCGTTGTTGGCGAGGATCCAGCTCAGTTTGGTACGCATAGTCTGCGATCTGGAGGTGCAACTGCAATTGCCGAATCCATGAAAGGGATACCAGGAGACGATAGGCAGCTCAGACTCTAGGGATATGTACATTAAGGACTCCATGACTAACAGATTGTCAGTTACAAAGTCACTTCAGTTGTAAAAACAAATGAAATGTAAAATAAATAAATATTGATAGCGATTAATCATTGTGATAAAAGGAATATGAATAAATGAATTATAGGCAAGTCCTCACACGTCGCCTACCATCTATATGTTGTGTGTGTAATTGATATAGCGAATGTACAGGGTGTATAAAAAATAACGCAACCTCGGAATTTCCCAAGAAATCGACATTGTTTTAAAGACAAAAGATTTTAGGCGCCTGGGAAATTTAAAATAGCACAACTGTCAAAATTACTGCACACGCGAGTGCATAAAGCAAAATTTATGCATTTATTTAATGCACAACAACAGTAATATGATCTATTAGCAATGCGATTTCAGTCCCCAGGGGCCTAAAATCTTTTATGCTAAAAAATTGCAAAGTAATTTCTTAGGAAATTCCGAGGTTGCGTTTTTTTTGATACACCCTGTAGAAGGAAAATGTTTTTCCTTCGGGCGAACGCAGTGAGTAAAGAAGGAAAACAGTATAGAATTGTATTGTATTTTGACGCTGTAACTTACTAAAGTGCTAGCAAACCTAGGCCAAATGTGACAGGCAGCATGAAGGGCATCTCTTCATTCCAATCATGGATAGCGACAAACGATCATCTCCTGAACAGTGGAGACTTGAAGACATTCTTAAATATCTTGACCTTATGTTTTGTTGTTAAGTAATATATAAATATTATCAAGCGTCAAAACGCTGAGAAATAGCATGCGGTAAGAGTTATGTATCTACAATTATATCTAATTTGTGTCGGTTTTCTTTGATCGTCCGAGGTTTATAACTAGCTAATATACCTTGAATGAATAATTACATCAAACTTTTCGACAAAACGCGAGAATTTTTCATAAAAAATTTTTGAAAGTTAGTTATAGTTAGAAGTTAATTATAAACCTCGAAAGTCGGTTTATAACTGATATATTGCCCTCGGACGCTGCGCGTCCTCGGGGCAATATATCAGTTATAAACCTCCTTCTCGGTTTATAACTCTAACTTAAACTAATATTTAAATCCCGGTCTGCCATATGAGGTCTATATACGACAGAATATGTTGCTGTCTAGAGTTATATAAACACATGGAGGTTAGAGGTCATGATATATAATTGTCAAGCGATTTCTATATTTTAGTGCTAGGTTTTTAAAGTACTAAAAGTCGGATAAGGGTAATAAATTTAAGCTATATTAACGCACACCGGTTGCTATATGTTGTTAGGGTGAAACTAATTAAAGCATTAACTTTTATCAGAGATTTGCATTCTCTACTGTGTGGATAAATACGGGTAGATTAGAATATTCATAGCGCGGGCGTCGCGGGTTATCCGTGCGGGTTGGAAACACAACAATAAGGAGGCTTATATTGGAAGAGAGAAAGCAACTTAGACAAGACAGGAACGCTTTGCAGCCAAAAGTTTACACAAGAATTCAGTCTTAAAATACATTTATTTCTTCGAGACGTTTACAAACTTAATGTGGTCTACTTTTTAGAGCATAATGTGTTTGATTTTATTTAAATTGCGCATAACAATTTAAATGTTTTTTTTTGTAATAAGAGTCGTTTGGCTTTGTTGTTCATTCGCCATGGTTTCTATAGTCCTAGCCCTACATCGACTCCACATCGACCCTACATCGACCTCACACCGACCCCACATCGACCCTACATCGACCCTTATCTTCATCTTCTTATCTTCCTTATCTTTATCTTCCTTATCCTTATCTTCCTTATCCTTATCTTTTTATCTTCCTTATCCTTATCTTTTTATCTTCCTTATCTTTATCTTCCTTATCTTTATCTTTTTATCTTCCTTATCCTTATCTTTATCTTCCTTATATTTATCTTTTTATCTTCCTTATCTTTATCTTTTTATCTTCCTTATCCTTATCTTTATCTTCTTATCTTTATCTTCTTTATCTTCCCTATCCTTATCTTTATCTTTTTACCTTCCTTATCCTTATCTTCCTTATCCTTATCTTTATCTTTTTATCTTGCTTATCTTTATCTTGCTTATCTTTATCTTCCTTATCTTTATCTTTTTATCTTCCTTATCTTTATCTTTTTATCTTCCTTATCTTTACCTTCCTTATCTTTATCTTTTTATCTTCTTTATCTTCTTATCTTTATGTTCTTATCTTTATCTTCTTATCTTTCTCATCCTTAACCTTATCCTTATCTTCCTTATCGTCCTTATCTTTATCTTCCTTATCTTTATCCTCTTATCTTCCTTATCCTTATCTTTATTTTCCTTATCCTTATCTTTATCTTCCTTATCATTATTATTATCTTCTTATCTTCCTTATCCTTAATAATCCTCCCGCTATATTGACATATTCAACACAACTTAGGCTCAGAAGCGAGCTCGAATGGCTCGGAGTCAAGCTCGAATGGTTCGGAGCAGAGCTCGAATGGCTTTAGGATTCAATGATTCACTCTTACGATTCAATGATTTACTCAACCTCGTACCCAGACTCTTTCCACTACGCGCCTCGCTGGAGGAAAGACCCAACCTCGTACCCAGGGCTTCTGCGCTTATTGCTCTCAGAAGCCCTGGGATAATCCAAACCGGAACACAATAAAAGATTGGTGCTCCTGGAAGCGGAAGTAAGCAGTAACTTCAACTAAAAACGCCGACTTGGCATATTTTTACGCAAGGAGTGAGAATGCATTATTTGTTGCAATTTATAATAAATTTGGACTTGTAAAGACGTCTTAAACTGCTTCTCGCGTGGCTTTTGAGATTTAAAGTCAGGAATGATCAATTTAGAGATACAATTATGGGTAAAATAAGCCCTTTGGCGAGCAAAAGAACATCTTATATCGCGACAAAAGCATATACCTTGTCAGCGATATACAGGGGCTATTCAATAACTAAAGTAATATCATAGTTAACTCGGATTCTTTTGTTTCAACAGGGACGTTTAATCACGTATTTCCCTCATTACCCATGCATACGCTTTCTTCTTCTAAATTTCCCCGGGAAATTTAGTTGAAAACAAAGGATTTCTTTGTCTTCTAATTTTCCCTGCATGCTTGATGAGGGAAATTTACTATTGTTCCCAGTAAACTGCGAAACGACCGCTTTTTTAGGCGCTTTGTCAGTGACGGTTTTGTCAATTGCAAAGGACATATTTGTGTACCACGCGATTACAATTCTTTGCAAGCGGCGTGTGAAAAACTGCAAGTTTCAGTTTGACATTTCTGGCAGTTGAATGGTTTATAATTTTATTGTCCAATCAGATGCGTAGTTTTGAATTTTAAATCATCTAATTGGACAATAAAATTAGAAACCATTCAACTGCCATAACTGTCAAACTGAAACTTGCAGTTTTTCACACGCCGCTTGCAAAGAATTGTAATCGCGTGGTACACAAATATGTCCTTTGCAATTGACAAAACTGTCACTGACAAAGCGCCTAAAAAAACCGGTCGTTTCGCAGTTTACTGGGAACAATAGTAGTTGAAAACAAAGGATTTCTTTGTCTTCTAATTTTCCCCTGCATGCTTGATGAGGAAAATTTAGAAGACAAAAGCGTACCTCATTACCTCTGATTGGAGAGCTGTACCTCAACGAAAATCATCGGCACAACTATGGACAGTATCTGACGACACCGTCCCGTACTCACTCGAACAATCACTTTACCAGCTTTATTCCCTAATCTTGAACATTTCAATTGTGGGAGAAAATTCCGTTTATGCGCATGCCTGAAACTCCAATGAACGCGGAGATTTGTTTCTGCGCGTGCGTATATATGAAAAGTGTTCGCACCACAATCATAAGACAATCAAACAGCATTCAAAACAGGCAACACACCACGCGCGATTTCCTCGTTAACTATGATATTACAAAGTAATAGCATGGCATTACGGTCGATTAGTGATGAAATGTCCCTCAAGCCTCGAGAGGTTTAGTAAAAGTCCCTCGGCGCTACGCGTCTCGGGACTTTTACTAAACCTCTCTCAGCTTTCGGGTACATTTAATCACTAATCGCCCTGAATGCCATGCTATTACCTATAATATAAACATTTATACTCGAGTACAACCTTGGTCATTTCGAAGTCAACAAACTAGAAATCGTACTGGTAACATGGCTGGCTGCCGATTATCTTGGATTTGAGGGTTTTGAACAAGATATTGCAAGATTTAATTATAAATACACACGATATACTGTCCTGTAAACATGCATCTACTTGAAGAATGTAAAATGAACAGTGATGAGTGTTGTAATATATTTCTGTGTTTATTTGGAAAACCTTTTTGGCAAATCTTGAGAATAATGGCTTTGGGAATGTTGAAAATTAAAAACTGTCAGATAGCTGCATGAACAGCATGGTTAGAAGCATACATGTCATCGGATGAAACTCCAACTTTTGTTAATTGCCAACTGAAATACATTTTAATTAATAACAATTGATGTTCTAGTATTGGAATGAACAGTGTTATAAGAACCAATGGTGCTGAACTAATTTGGGTTTATTATAAAATATTGTTTATCATTTAGTTCTGGCCATTAACCTTACCTATTAAGTTATACATTGTGTCCTACTTTTTATTTTACTCTGACTGTCTAACACCAGATGATTTTATATGTTGGGATAGATCACTGGTGTTCAATGGATTTGAATAATAATCTCATAATTTGTTAACCTACTCTGTCTAATCATGCTAACACCATTGGCAATGGAATTGAGCAGTGATGTAGCCAGGATTTCTAATCAAGGCCTTCAAGTGGGACTGAAATCCCCAGGAGGGGCCTGCACTAGTTTGAATAAAGTTTGTTATTATGTAAAAATATATTTGGACTCCCAAGCTATCCATGTATAATATAGTACAATGTAGACTTTTTAAATTCTAGTTAATAAAGTGCCATTTTGGGGGGCTATTTTAATGTGTTTTGGTGATTTGAAATAACCATGCAGTTAACACATGTTCAACTA